GGGGGGGGGGATAATATTTTTTTAAACGGGGGGGGGAATATAATTTATTTAAACCTTGTCATAATGTAAAAATTTTAAGTTGCCCACTTTTGAATATTTAGACATGCACGTCTATTTCTCGCTGAATTTATGATTTGTATTACGATGGTATAGGTATAAAATGTTAGACTTAGTATTGGTATGTGACATGCAGCTTAATATTAATTTTTAGGAAATGGCACCAACTAATCGCACGAATTTGATGCGTGGTTTTTTGAGAGCTGTACAAGAGTTATGCTTTCCATATATTTTATTTATTTACTAGTAGAGCAAAAATTCAGGTTGTGATGTTTGATATTTTATTAAATTATTAAATGAAAATTTTTTTAGTAATGATTTAAATATTTAAAATTTGGGTCGTTACTGTTTGATATTTGAGCCCAGATTTAATTTTCTGTAGACCCCTACGTACATTCACGGTATGAGTAGAAAAAGAAAATCATGAAAAAAAGTCACTGTTCGTGATGAACAGTGACACAACGTGAACAGTGACAAAAAAAATGTAATGATTTTAAATGGTTGTAAAAGTGTATGTGTGTGTATATATTTATTTATATTAAATGATTGTTCATATATATCTTTATTTTAAATGATTGTTCACATGTATAAACATGAGTGACCGTATTTTTTTTAAATAATTATTGAAGTGTGTGTGTGTATATGCCAATTGTATTAATTTAAAATGTTACGTGTTCAATTTAAATTTGCGTGATATTTGTTGATTTTTTTAATTTTTTTTGTATATATATATATATATACACGCACACAAATTAAAAGATATGATGTAAATTAATACAAATTTTATTTAATTAAATCCCTAAATATGCTAAAATTTGAAAGACCTTCAGCACTCAACCACCACCAATCGACCACCCTCCGACGACTCTAACGTATGTAAGGGAGGGTAGGAATAGAAATTTATTTAAACTTTGGCATAATTTAAAAATTTTAAGTTGCCCACTTTTGAATATTTAGACATGCATGTTTATTTCTCGCTAAATTTATGATATATATTACGATGGTATAAGTATAAAATGTTAGATCTAGTATTTGTATGTGACTGGCAACTTAATATTAATTTTTAGGAATTGGCGCTCCTACCCACACGAATTTGATGCGTGATTTATTGCAAGATGTACAAGAGTTATACTTTCTATATGTTTTATTTATTTATTAGTACTCAGTAGAGCAAAAATTCAGGTTGTGATGTTTGATATTTTATTAAATTATTGAATGAAAATTTTTTTAGTGACGATTTAAATATTGAAAAATTGAGTCGTTATGGTTTGGTATCTAAGCCCAGTTTAATTTTCTGTAGACCCCTATGTATATTCATAATATAAGTAAAAAAAAAATTCATGAACAAAGTCACTATTCGTGATGAACAGTTGCATCACGTTGTCAGTGACCAAAAAAATGTAATGATTTAAATTATTGTAAAAGTGCATGTGTGTATATATTTATTTATTTTAAATGATTGTTCACATTTATAAATATGAGTGACCTTTTTCTTGAATAATTGTTCAAGTGTGTGTATATATATGCGAATTGTATTAATTTAAAATGTTATGTGTTTAATTTAAATTTGCGTGATATTTGTTGAAAATTTATTTTTGTGTATATATACACAAATTTATAGATATGATGTAAAATATAAATTTTATTTAATTAAGTTCCTAAATATGCAAAAATTTGAAAGACCTTCGGCAATCAACCGCCACCAATCGATCACCCTTTGACGACTCTAAAGTATTTGGGGGGGGGGGGGGGGGGGAGGA